CTATGACAAACTTAAGCCATAAAAAATTCACTGGAAGGGCTCAGCGCTTGTAGCTCAAGTGGCTAAGGGGCCAGCCACATACACTAGAGCTAGCAGGTTCAAATACAACCTGGGCTTACCAAATAACAATGACAACTACCACCAAAGTAGCCAGGCATTGTGGCAAGCGCCTATAGTCCCAGCTACTTGGGAGGCTGAGGCAAGAGAATCGCTTAAGCCCAGGAGTTAGAAGTTGCTAAGAGCTGTGATCCCACAGCACTCTACGCAGGGCAAGGCTCTGTTTCAAAAAAAAAAAAAAAAAAAGAAAGAAAGAAAAGAAAAAAAAAAATTCACTGGAAAGATTTTAGTAGCTCACAGAAGAAATAAGAGGGTAAAGAAAACAAGGAAAAACTAAGGACATTGTGGAGAACTATGCAGGAGAGATGATCTGAATAATGGTATTAAAGGAAAACCAATTCAATAAGCCTACTCCTAAGACAATTGAGTTCCAACTGTTCCTTCTCCTTCTAGCCATGCATCATTTAGAATCAAAGACTTCCAAAGGAACAGAAATATAGAATTTTTTTTAAATTTTTACAATCTTAGGGATGGGAAAGCCCTTAATAAATACATACAATAATCGTAGGAGTCACAAAGGAGGGGGAAAAAAATCAAAAGATTTGTCTTTGACAAATTAAGCAGATTTGGGGGGGGGGGGGCAGTGGCTTATGCCTGTTATCCCAACACTCTGGAAGGCCAAGGTGGCAGATCGCCTGAGTTCACCAGCTCCAGACCAGCCTGAGCTAGAGCGAGACCCCGTCCCTAAAAAATAGCCAGGCTGGGCGGCGCCTGTGGGTCAAAGAGGTAGGGCGCTGGCCTCAAATGCCAGAGCTGGCAGGTTCAAACTCAGCCCCGGCCAAAAACTGCAGATAAATAAATAAATAAATAAATAAAATTAAAAATAGCCAGGCATTGTAGCAGGCACCTGTAGTCCCAGCTACTCAGGACGCAGCTGCAGCAGTCTACCAAAGGTGAAAAAAATGAGACTCTGTCTCAAAAAAAAAGCAAGCAGATTTAACTATTAAATTTTTTTTAAACTTTTGCCATAAAAAAATCATATGAATGAAGTAAAAAAACTGCAAAAGTCAAAGAAAAAAGGGCTATCACACACAAACAGAATTAATACCTATGACTCAAAAAGAGCCAACAGAATGGAATAAGACAATAATCTATAGTCCAATAGAGAATAGAGCAAAAGGTATTAAGCAACTGAAAGAATCAAGCACAAATGGCTGATAAACTTAGGAAGCATATAACTCATAATGATCATCATTACTCATTAGCATTAGTAACCATGATCAATGCAAATGAAAACTTTTCTGATAATCAGAATGAAAAGATATTGAACACTAACAAAAGTTAATATTGTCAAAGGAAACCCCAAGTCTAACACTCTTCTGGTAAAAGCTTAAACAGGTACATCCCTGTGCTGGTCCCCAACCTCAGGGCCATACACTAATATGGATTCTGAGAAAGGGGCTTCAAGAGCGGTAGAAGAAAAACCTGGCCTGCTGAACCAGGAAGTCTGGAGGGCCCATAAGATGTGGGTATGAAGTAACCTAGGTAACCAATGACCAATAAGAGATAGTGAATGACCAATAGAAAAGGGCAATACTGCCTAGAGACACAAAGAGGCCAATGAAAAACTTGCAACCAATTTCAAACTGGATAAAGTGTTTATACTCCTACAGGCTTTTGCATCTCTGTCTCTTTCACCTTCTGTCCATCAGAGGACCCACTTCCAACTCTTTTCAGAAGTGCTCTAAACTTTCTCTGTGTTATTCCTAAGTAAAATTTCTCTTTGTTACATTTAAACTTGTGCAGGTTACTTTTTCTCTCTATTCACAGCTGCCCATGCTGCTCCAATTTTATTTTCTATTTTTATTCATTTTTGCTTTCAATTACTGCCATGCCTCGATTGAACTTTCAGCTAGCTCAGCCAAGTAATCAAATCAGGTCAGCTGGGTTCAGGGCGCTGGGACACTTGATCCCCAACAGGTTTGTGACCTGTTAAGAACCTGGCCACACTACTTCATCAGTCTGTGCCATCCCCACCTACACCCCTAGTCCATGGAAAAATTGTCTTCCATAAAACTAGTCCCTGGTGCTAAAAAGGTTCCCATCTGTTGCCTTTTAGAAACTGGTGCACAGAAGGTGAGCAGCCAGAGAAGATTCATCTGTATTTACAGCCACCAAACTTAGAATTTGATGAGGGAGCAAGTTTTTTCAACTTTAATATACTTTAAATATATATATATATTTTTTAGACAGTCTCATTATGTCACCGTCGGTAAAGTGCCATGGCATTATAGTTCACAGCAACCTCAAACTCTTGGGCTTACGTGATTCTCTTGCCTCAGCCTACCAAGTAGCTGGGACTACAGGCACCCACCACAACGCCTGGTTTTTAATCAGACTTTCTTACTAAAGGAGAGGGAATATCCAGCATCCCCTCTCCCCATTGCCTGCATCACCACCTGAGCACCACCTCCTTCCTGTTCCACCCAACACCCTCCAACACCCTCCAACCCCCACCCCAGCCTGTGAAAAAATTGTCTTCCATGAAACTAGTCCCGGTACCAAAATGGTAGGCTACCACTGCCCTCGTATGTTAACTCTATCATTTTTACCTCTGTACAAGACTGGTATTGTATAAAACTCTATTATTAGCATTCAGTTATCTCAGCAGTTCTCATATTTTGGAGTCTCAGAATCCCTCTACACCCCTAGGAATCAGCAAGCAGTTCTGGTACCAAGGGGTGAGAGAGGACTGACTACAAAGGGGCAGAAGGGAATCTGGGGTGGATGAGGAAACTGTTACATGTAGATTATGATGGCAATTATAAGACTATATGTGTTTGTCCAAAAACACACAACTTTATATTTAAAACGGTGAATAGCCAGGCTCAGTAGCTCATGCCTGTAAGCCCAGCACTTTTGGGAGGCCAAGATAGGAGAATCACTTGAGGCCAGGAGTTTACAACCAACCTGAGCCAAATAACAAGACCCTGACTCTACAAAAAAAAAAATTTTTTTTAATAAGCTGGGTATGCAGCTACTTGGGAGACTGAGGCAAAAGGATCACTTCAGCCCAAGAGTTTGAGTTTGCTGTGAGCTATGATGATGCCATGGCACTCTACCCAGGGTGATGAAGTGAGACTCTGTACCAAACAAAAAACAAAAGCTGAGTACGATAGTATATTCTTATAGTCCCAGCTACCCAAGAGCCCAGGAAGTTGAAGTAGCAGCAAGCATCTAGCCTAGCCTACAGAGCAAGACCTTGATTCTAAAAAAAAATGAAATGAATTATTAAACTTAAATAAATAAATATGGTGAATAAACTGTATGTAAATTATACTTCATTAAAAAAAATTGACTTAAAATGTATTGAGGACCCTAAAAGAGTACTTGTTTATATTAGGGCATATTAGGGCGCATATTAGAGATTTTTAACTGAGAAAATTTTTAAACAATCTTTATGTACTCATTGTAAAAATGAATGCACTAAATGTTAACGTACTCTATGTGAGAAATACATTTTTCAAAGCAAAAAACATTTAATGAGAAAAGTCATATTGTTGTGTATTTTAACAAATCTCTTCAAATATGAGCCTTCAAATAGAAAACAGCTGGCTGAATTCTCATTTCTGCTTCCATCTGTTATATAGTAGTATCACAAGTCATGTAGCTTCTAGAAAAATCCACTATACACTTGTGAGAAACTGAGAGTGAAAAAGATGAACAACATCTGCACATTATTATTAAAATGAGTTTAACCTGCAAGTGTCAGGGAAGACTCATGAGTCTCTGCACCACACTTTGAGAACCTCTGATTTAGTCTATACAAGAAAGTATCAAATTCTGAATATGAAGCAGTAACAAAATTTACTTCTTTTCATGTCAAAGAAGCAGTATCTTATGCAGATCACCTGTCTTACTCTAATACAGAAATAATCCCTTATCCATGTCAAAATTTCTACCAATGATGTAGACTGAGCTACAACTTCATGGTAAGTGAAACATGTTTCTGAAGTTCAAGGATTTAAAAAACCACTAGACCCTAAGAGTGACTGCACCACCCTCACAACTATCTGCAGGACAGAAAGGCAACATGAACACACAGAAAGTAGACAAAGAAACGCCTGACCTCAAAGAAAGATCCATAAAGCTAAAATGGAGGTGAAGTAACTACAAAAGCACTATTGGAGCAAACATATCGTGAATGTCAAATACCAAAAAAATACAAATACTGCTTCTTGATTACATAGTTAAAAGAACTCAAAATGCTATGACTATATTCCCCAATCTACATGATAGTGAAATTATGTCAAATGACACTTACTTCTGCAATGTCGCCGGTGACAGTGAAAACGGCAATCCACCTGCTTCTCATATGCTAAGCTAGGCGCTGGGACACTGCATGAAGGGGAATACCGGTGTGCCTGTACTTCAGTGTTTGTACAACTCCCATAATTGGAAAGTAGTCCATAACTATTTGTTGCTCCAAGAGACTAAGTTAGAAACTTGCTGCCTCTAGGGACTCTGCCCTCCGGTGACTTTCAAATACTGTCCAAGGAAGTGGTGGTAACACCAGGAGACCACGCAAATCCTGGTGGGGGTCGGAGGAGGGCACCAGCAGCACTGAAATGCGGCAGCGACTTCTATCACCTATCTGGGGAGTCCCAAGGCCTGCTGACAGGGTCAGTTCCGCACGCCCCTAATGCGACGCTGGGAACCCAGGTTGCGCCTCCCTCAACTACTACTGGGGCCCCCACCCTCCCTGGCCTCAGTTTCCCCATCTGTATCCGGGAGCTTGGACGCTGGCTCTTGGCGTCCTCCAACTCGACCTTCAGAACTGACTAGGCCAGCTGCCGCTGGGTCGAGCGGCCGCCCACCCGACTCGGGACGTCCCCGCCGGTAGGGGACTCTGAGAGGGTCGGTCCGCGGCGCCCCGCACTCACCGGGCTGACGCTTCAGAGCCATCACAGACACTAGATAGTGGGCGATGTCAAAAAAGGGGAACATGGACGTGCGGGAGAAGGCCAGAGCCAGCTCATCCCATGGAGACTCCATAACTACGGCGGACCACTGCGGCCCAAGAAGCCGCGGCGACGGGTTACCACCTTGAGCGCTGAGGGATGGAGGAGGGGACGCGGCGCCGCTCCGCGCCCGCTCGGGCCCCGCGCGTGCGCCCTGGCTGCGGGAGCCGGCGCCGGGGGCGGGGCCGCGCG